CGTGAAGCCTGTCCTTCTTCCACTTTCTCTCCGCCCTCCGACAGGTGCGTCTCAGTGTGCGAGTGAGTTCATTCAGCCAAGGCTCCGTGGAAGCTGAGACTCGTTTTGTCTTAAAAGGAGCAATATCGTCCAAAATAGCCGAGCAAACGGAGTTAAAATCATCCAGAAGCTGGTCAACATTTCCACCGAAGTTAAACTCCGCTGAGGAAAGCTGAGAGTCAATAAAAGCAGCTGAGAACTGCGACGCTGTCTGAGTGTTAAAAATGCGACGTGAGTGCACAGCTTTGCGCTGATCCCGCGCAGATGTTAAAATATTAAATTCAGATAAAACAGGTAGATGGTCGGATATACCTGAGTCACAAATCTCTCTGACTTCTCCATGTAGCCCATAAGTTAAAACCAAGTCCAATGTGTGGCCCTTTTCATGCGTGGAACCACTTACAATCTGTGTAAAATTAAAAGAACTAATCAAATTTAAAAAGTCACTTGCAAGTGGCTTATTTTTGCAGCAGATATGTATATTAAAATCACCAACAAATAAAATCTGATCATAATCTAAAACGATCATAGACAAAAAGTCTGCAAATTCAGAAAGAAGTCCATCTCGTTTTGGCGGCCTGTAGATCACTACACACAACACTGGAGAGTCACATTTTATTTCTACTAGYTGTGCTTCAAAGCTGGAATAACTGTCCACTAGAAGCTGTCGACATGTAAAACACGATTTGTGGATGACAGCGACTCCTCCACCTTTTCCAGAAGACCGGGGAGCACTGAAGAACCCGCAGTCAGGAGGGAGAAGTTCGGAAAATGGAGTAAAATCCCCGGCTCGAAGCCACGTCTCTGTTAAAAACATAAAATCCAGCTCCCGAGAAATAAAGAAATTATTCAAAATAAAATTCTTATTTGCTAAAGATCTAGTATTAATGAGGGCTGAGCTGATGGTCGTCTCATCCTTAGCCGCAATCGAGGCCCTGCTCAGTGGCCGGAGGTTGGTGAGCTCCACGCCGCGTCCAACCCGCTGACACCTGCGGAGAGGTGGAACTGCCACGGGCAGGTGTGCCCAGGTCTTTGCAGGTCCAGGGACCACAGGCAGGATCCAACGAGAAGAGAAGCAGCAGCTCCCGCTAGATCGGAAATCCTCTCTCTGAAGAGCCTTGATCCGGACTAGGACGCCAGCTCGCTTCCCCCGTCTCCGAGAACGCTTTTTCCGAGGTATGCAGAAAGGTGTGCGCCGCAGGTAACTGGGTATATCCGTAAAGAAAGGCGGAGAATTGTTTGCACCAGCAGATTTCCACCTCCATAAAAAAGACTGATGCTGCTGCCTGATGTCCAGAAGCGTTTGGCAATTATAAGTCAAAAGAGCAGTCACATCACGCCAACTGATTAAAAGTGATAATAGGGCAAAATAGTAACAAATAAAACCAAAAAGCAGAGGCAGACGGCGAGCCGCACATGCTGGCGCCATCTTGCCACGTCACATTTTGGGTATTCACCCAGGTCAGCAAGAAACTCTGGTCAGGTCCCTTACTTCCAGTAAAACTTTCAGTGTTTTGATTTTTCAGCATCTCCGAAATCTGCTTCAGGTCCGAAGGAGAGAGTCAAATCCGATTCTGTCCTCTCTTCAAAATAAAAGACTTCTCAATAAAGGTTTTACAAAAAAGAATGGAGAATCAAAGCTGGATGGTTTGGTCGCAATTAATGGTATCGTGACTCTGTGGCAAAAGATTTGCTAATTAGCCCTTGAGGTCAAATCTCATTGCCGAACGCTGATTTTCCTGGAGAGGAAAAAACAGCTTCTCCTCGTTGGGACGAAGATGGTGTCTGTCGAGCGGCTTGTCCCAGGTTAGTTTCTACAGAGAAATGTAAGGGTTTACCTTACACTTCTTATAACAAGGTTATAAGGAATTTATTTTAGCAAGGATCATTTTATTTTTGGTAAAATATTCTTCCCGTGCAAAGTAAATGGATACACAACAAGTTACGTCAGTCAGTGAATTTTGATTTGATCCATTAATAAATGTGATAATTTATTTTACATAATCACACAAAATCACTACAGTACACTTAATTGTGAGCAATCAATTTTCTATAAAAGTTTTAACCAACAATAACAAGTGCTTTGAGCTTCGTTAATTGTCAATCAACACTTGAATAAAGCACAAATGCCAAGCTTTAGACGTTGAAATACCAGACATTTGAGGCAAATAACTTAGTTTGGCAAGGTAGGTTCAAGAAAAGGAGGAAAGTGAGGTGTTAGCTTTCCTAACTTTTAACTTGAATAAATGTGAGTTAACTAGAGGCAAGGTGTTTCTCTGCTCAGCGTCAGCCAGACAGTGATGCTCGTAACAGCCAGCTTTACATTTAAAGATGAGGTCAGTCACCTGGTATTTGGGAGGTCTCTCAGAGTAGTGGAAAATCCGTAGGACCGGCCACTTAGCTGAACTCTCCAGGCTTGTTAACTTTCAGCATTCGCGCACATCCGCGTCAAGCCGAAGGAAGAAAGGCGAAGCCAAAGTGGATCCCGATTTCAAAATAAAAACTTCGACAGGAAGATTTTAAAACGAGTTGGATAGACCAAGCCGTACACGGCCTGGTCTACGACACACGGTCGTAGCTGACCGTGTGTCTCCCCGTGGGCAATAAAGGGGTAGAACCGACACAGCTTTGGCTCTGGATTTGTCCAAAACAGTAGGCTGGGTCCTCCGAAGGCCAAATTCGTCGGCCGCATGCGTCTCAGCGCCACGACGAAGTCCGTCCAAAACCGAAGACTCCTCCGAAGCGGCCGACGAATGCGTCCTTCCTTTGCCCGGATTTGAAGAACTGATCCGATGGATCCTTCCCGGCCCAGCATATCCCATAATGCACTGCAGCCCGACTGGAGGTTTTTTATGCTAGTAATGGCGGACGAAGTGAGAGAAAAGAATATGTTTTAAATAAAAATATGGTGGTATAAAAATAAAAAAATTTTTAGCGGTTGTAATTCTAATACTTTTATAATTTGTATAGACATGTTTTGAAATATTATTTTTGTCATAAAAACATGAAATAAACATGCACTTATGGCG